GCTTCGGGGAACCAGAGCCTAACAACGCTATGGTTGTCCTGAAGGTCTTAATTTTACCTAAAGCAGATGTAATTTGAGAAATGTTTTTCGCGTAAGAATGTAAATTCTGTAAGCACACAATGCACATATAAATGGCACGGTGCTGAGAGGCGCATCCTTGGGCTGTCTCTTCTTTCTGTGCCTCTCACTCAGGAGGCAGACACCCCAGCTAGTCTGTCATCTCTCCTCAGGGGGCAGTGAAGTCAAGAGAATACATTCCCAGCCATCTGTCTCGGGTTAAGACTTCCCATATACAGAACCAGTCCTCTCGAGGTCCTTATTGCTGAAGCCAGAATCGCCTTTCCCGTGTAGGAAGGCATAGGTGTAGGGTGATGGTGTATGCCCAGCCTGCTCCCTCACCTCAGCCAGCATTAGTTTGGAAACTGGCACCTCACATTTATTTTTCTCGCTGGAGCCGCAGCCAGAGAGGCACCCTCAGGAACACCTCGCTCCTTCTTCAGTCCAGACACAATATTTTCGAAACGAGTTGAGAAAAATCTGGCAGCAAAAACTGGTTCACGCATACCGGACACACACGCAGACTACCCATCTGTGGAATCCCTCACCAGAGGTCTTGATACTGAGAATTCTGCTTCTGCTCCGTGTCAAGCACATTTCCTGAGTGGGAGGCTCCACTGCGAGTGGGAGAATCAGCTTCAAGTTGTGTTTGGGTCTAAATGTGTTAGACGTAGGCTTTGACGGTCGTGTTCTAGCAGCTGCTGAGCAAGACAGAGTGGGCAGAGAGAGCCTTGAAGTGCTCTCCTACCAAGTGACGGAGTGATGTACTTGTATAAAGTGAAACATTACTTATCATTTATTCACAAAAGGAAAATGGACAATGCGGGCTTTTCAGCGTCTAAAAGTCTTGTCAGAGGCAGCTCGTGGCTGTCCATCACCTGTACCGTAGATGAATAGCCACATTTTCCAGAAAGCAGCCGGCATCTTTGTGATTGAGTCTCGCTATCCACATCTCTTGGTCTAGCTAATTCTGATGAATGGCATGGATGAGCTTAGGACCGCAGAATCCCACAAGGCAAGGGTATGGGAGGAGCTCTGGGCAGCTCACGAGAAGTGCCAGGATCCATGCCCTTTCGTTTCACACGGCCTTGAGGTCTCGGGGCCAACTTCAGCAGGTGAGCAACATAGCCTTAAGTAATAAAATCCATGTCCAGATGGGAGGATCCCAAACCCACACCCCCACTCACTGTTGTGTGTTCAGGTGGTGACAACCATGTAAGGCGTGACAGACTGCCCTGGAGAAATCACAGGAAGAGGGTGGAGTCGATGCCTCCGGGGAAGAAATATAGAGCAGAGAGGAAGGCCAAATCCTTCCAGATCACCCTGTCTTAGTTTATGTCGGTTGCTGGTGGCGTCTAGAGGCTCAGACCGTTATTACCTCAGAGTCGGCGAGCTCTCACGTATTCCTCCATAGATGTTGCTCATGGCTCCGGTTGTGCCTCCTTTGTGGATTTCACAGCCAGGGCGACTATGCGCTTATTTATGAGACCGTTTAATTTTATGTCTCTCCTCCACTAGCCTGTGAAGCCGGCCCCTCCGTAAGGAGCTGTGGGCATCTCTGGGCAATGACTTGGTAAGTGCGTGAAGACGCTACATTGCTCTGCGCCCCCAGGACCTTTTGAGGTTTCAGGACATGGAGGTCTAGAGAGGCCCTGGAGACCACTTCCCGGTGTCACTGCTGTGGGAGAGTGTCACATTTGCCCTAGTTTCTGTGCGTATTTTCACAGAATGTGCTCTCCTGCTGGCTCTTAGTCACTCCGTGGCTTACATTTTTAACACAATTTTTTATTTTTGAAACTGCAGTTATTTAACCAGGGTTTTCCAGCTTGTATCTGGTGTTGGGGAGGGGGACTGGTTTTATTCCAAAGTGCCAGGAAGGGAAACAGCGTTTGTCACCAGCCCTGGCACCTGCAGGCTTGGCTTTTGCAAAGGCAACACTTGACTCTCAAAAGGAGGTACTCCTCGGTGTGGGCAGGCATTTTGGAACAAGCACAGGGCTCAGAAAATCAGGCTTGTGTGTCATGAGCTGCGTGGCCTTGGGCGGGAGACCTGGGCACTCTGGGCTCAGTTTTTTCTTTTATGGAATAGGGATGAAGGTACTTTCTCCTGAAGTTACTGGAAGAATTGGAAAATACTGGTAAAGTCTTGGTCCAAGATAAATCCTTAGCAAATCTGTATGCATCACCCCCTGACCTTTCTCTTTCCTCCCTTTCCTCCATTGAGAGGGCGAGGAGAGCACCTACCACACAGTGAATGAAGGAGTTCACTTGGTGAGAGAAGGCAGGAAGATCTGCGTGGCTGAGGGTGTGACCCACACTGTGTATGACTGTGGAGTGTTGAATGGAAGTGGGGAAACTTACTTAGCGCCTACCCAAAGGTCTGTGCACTGTGGCAGACAATTGAAAGGCGTTAGCTCATTTAATCATCACAGGGATGCTTTAAGTAAGGTTCCATTATCAACCCTGTACAAATGAAATGAAAGGGCAGAGAGACTGTCATGGGATAATGGTGTCATACGGAAGAAGCGATTTTCCTAAGGTACCTTGAAACAGAAGGCCATGGATGGAGTGTGTGTGCAAGTTACCAAGGTGAACCAGTGAGGGACCACTTTTCAGATCAAGGCTTCTTTGTCTCTTTATTAACTCTGTGATGCAAAAGGGAAATTAGAATTCAGCATGACAGATAGGCTGGTTTCACATCAAGTGGGAGTAATGCTGAGGGTAATAACGCACATCTCGAGGATGTGCGAGAATCTGCACTTGGGTATGGGAAGATGGGGGTGGGTTTTGGTTAGACACCAAGAGAGGAAGGGAGGATGATAAAGCTGCTCTTCCCAGAGAAAAGGAAAAGCACATCTTTTTAATATCCATCTGAGGAGGAAGATGAGAGGAAGGTGGCAAAGGACCGGTGAGAAGTCAGACGGGCCCTGTGAGGGTGTGAGGAAAGCAGGAATGCCTGTTGGGACAGGCAGCGGTTTGCTTGTCGTGTTCGGCGTTTCTCTATACCACTAAAGACCCTGCTATGGTTTGAATTTGTAGTGCCCCTCATAGTTTCATTATCTGAATGGTTGGGACCCCAGATGCTTGCACTGTTTGGCTGATGCTCTGGGAATTTATAGAGCTGAACTGGAGGAAGTAGGTCGCTTTGGATGTATCCATAGGGATGTATTATTTTTGAATCTCTTGGTCACAAAGTACACATCTCCCCTACCACATCTCTCCTACTGTCCCATTGTCGTGTCCAGGTATATGGAACTAAGGTTTTTAAGTTTTTTTTTTTAAACCGAATGTTACAAAATTGGGAGCCAAAGCAACCCTTTCCCTTCAGTTGTTCCTGCCAGGTATTTTATTAACCATGAGGTAAACAAACTAATTCTCTTTCCGAGGACATTAAACAAATATTTAATTATTTTTATTTTATGTGTATGAGTATTATGCTTACATGTCTGCATGTGTACCACATTTGTGCCTAGTGCCCGTGGAGGCCAGAAAAGGGCATCAGATCCCCTGGAACTATGCTATAGATGGTTGTGAGAATCTTCATGTAGACAGAGCTCAGGTCTAGAAGAGCAGCCATTGCTCTTGATCACTAAGACATCTCTCCAGCTTCCCAAGGATATTTTGTTTGAATTTTCCCTCCTTCCCTCTGACACTCAACCGAAGGGTGGTGCTTAGCTTTGTGTTGGCTCAATGGAAACTCTGGAGGGAGAATGGCTGGCTAATGGACATGGATGGCAGGAACTTTTCTGGAGAAAGGAGAGTTAGTGGATGGGGTGTTGGGGGAAGGGACTGGGAAGAGAGGAGAGAGGGAGGAGAATTGCGATTGGGCTGGGAAAAATTAAGTGGTTGATTAATTAATAAAAATGAAAAAAACTAGGAGGGAAAGTTTGGTAATGACAGCATCTAGAATCTTAAGGATGTGTTCTGGATCTCCACTGTCTTTGGATAGTGAGAGGGAGCTCAACACTATGAGCTTCTGTGCCAAGGTGGCCCTGAGTGTCACCTGTATCTATGGGCACATAGGCGTGGGGAAAAGGGGGCAGCTCAAAAGAGGGGAAGGGCCATGTAGTAGAATATTTGTTTAACTATGCAAAGATATTTTACATTTGTTTAGTTATGTAAAGATGTGTTGCTGTTTTACCTTGCTTGCCTAAGGCACCTGATTGGTCTAATGAAAAGCTGAATGACCAATAGTGAGGAAGGAGACATAGACGGATTTCTGGGCAGAGGGAGTAAGTAGGAAGAGGAATTTCGTCTTGAAGAAGAAAGAAAAAGAGATGCCAAGGAGACTCCAGGGGTCAGTCAGGTAGACACAGAGGAAGCAGGGAAGTAGGATGTACAGAATAAAAGATGGGTAAAAAGCCCTGAGGCAAAACATAGAGGGGCAGTAGCTGTTCTGAAGTTAGATTCAATTTTCTATAAGTTCCTAAGTCCTTTTAAGAAGACATTTCAAGGTCTTAAGTTAAAAGAGCTAGTGGGACAAGCCTAAGCTAAGTCGGAGCATTCATAATTAATATTAAATCTCCATGTCTTTATTTGAGAGCTGGTTGGCAGCTCAAAGATAAATCCAGCTACAGGGCCATGCTCACAACCTCTTGTTTGAGGAAATAGTCTGGATTCCTCTGGGTCTCATGGTTACCAGGAAGAATAAGCTACTTCAGGGTTCATAGCTCCAGCAATTCGCTGGTCTCCAATAAACACCCCATCTCGCTGAGATCACCACGGTAGCCGTCTCCCATGACAACACCGCCAGGCTCAGGTCTCATATCACAGGGGGCTCAGAAGTAAGTCCTATGGGGTCAACCATTGCCACATTCACCAGGTCTCTCTCACCCACGTGGATACAGCTCAGAGCCCCAGTTATGCTGATCCAGTCGGAGCAGTTTTCAGCCTCTCATCCCACCACATGTCTGGACAATAAAACCCTCAGAAGTCATCTTTACTGTGAAATTCTAAAATCATATTTATTCACCAATTCACAGAAGTGTCATAACGACCAGCAACATGAATCAGTTTGTAGGCATTTACAAGCCAAGGCTGAAAATAAATATCTGTTCTGTGTTGAATAGGCATTTAACAAATTACTCAGAAACTGCAAGAATCGAAACTGTTAGAAATTTAGAGTTTGGGATTCGGGCATGATAAGATCACAGCCGTGGGAAGAAACTCAACGGATTCTCCCAGAGTTTATTTTTCTATTAAATCTTTATGTACATGTACACTCTCAGCATCCTTCACTCTGCATCAGTTAGACTCTAGTAGGGCAATTAGGCAGGGAGAAGGGACCAAGGAAAGGAGTGGGAGGGTAAGGTTTTCCTCGGGTCCCCTGTGGCTGGGCAACCTTATTGACCGACAACATAACACACTGTTCTGAAGTTAGATTCAATTTTCTATAAACTCATAAGTCCTTTTAATAAGACATTTCAAAGCTTTTGCATTGTATCAGACTCACACACACAGAGTAGCATAGTAACCAAGTAAATACATTTGTAGACTAAAAAGATTCATTCTTGGAGACAGCTGAAGTGGCTCAGAACATGTGTGCCAAGAACATGCTGGACAGTCCCCAGGTGAAGCTGGCTCTGGCTATAGACACTCCAGCTGCACAGGCCTAATGGCCACTGCCCAGTCAGGAGTGGGTGGAAGGGGGGATCCATAAATGAGGGTGCTCTGTCTCTCTGCAGGGTGGACCCCAGAGAGGCTCCAGTAGAGCAAGCAGCCTGTCTGTCTCAGGTCTTTCCCATCACTGAGGTTGAGGAACAGGCTCAACAGGCTCAAACAAACAGGCTTCTCACACAAGGTTTTTAAATGGTGGCATCATCTCTAGGGCTGGGAGGAGAGAAGGGGCTGGGATTGGCTGCACCCAGAATCTTTATATTTTATCCCAACATCATGACTGAAGACGGCAGATTCAATAGTACCTATCAAGTCCATAGGGAAAGGCAGAGACAATGGTAGGGTGGGCAGACTCTATCCTGCAGAAACAGCATTGCGGGTGTTATTCAGAGAGTTCTAAATGTGTGCAAGCCACTGTCACTGTTCACTGCCAGAGATCCAGACCAAGAGTCTGTAGCTGTCTGAGTACTGTGTGGAGTAATGGGAAACCACAAAGGCTTCTGTAAGCTAGGAGAAGTGTGTGGTCAACCTGCTTCTGTATGGCTCAGTCAATATGGGTTTTTGTGATCTGTCTTCACCAAGTAGGGACAAGCTACATGCTTCACTTCCAAATGTTTACGACTTCTGCTGTGTTCCAGGTGCTTTTTCCAGGGTTTTGAGAGCTAAAAGCAAATAACAATAAGAATAACCTAAGGCTTCTGGAGGATTAAAATTTGTTGGGACTAATGACCTCTCTTTATAAATTTCATTTCCACCTTATAGATATGCATATATGTACATACATATATATTATCAGTATCCCTTCATCTAGTTATGTCTGGTATCTTATACTTAATATTCTAATTCCTTAAACTAATGGCCCATCATATCATTATGACTCCTCCTTACATACATTACAATGCCCACGCAATAACATAACAAACTCCGCTCTAGTAACTATAGGTTTCCTTGGGTACAGCCAGCATCTATATAAGCTTTCTTCTTTCTATTCTCCACCTAGTTTGCTCCAATCCCCAGCCATGCCCGTCCAGCTCAGAGCACCAACAGCTCTTTCTCGGAAGCAGATCATATGGAAACCTGGTAGGTAGATTGATCTGTCATCCACTTCAAGGGGCTCTGACTTGTAAAACCATTGCAGTGACTGCCTCTGTGGTTACATGGTTACACTTACCCATGATTCCTTTGACACATGAATGTAAGTGTAAACACAGAGCAGTACCCTCGCTTCTTGGTTGCTCCCCCTACTGTCGCTCCTAATCAACGTGTTCCCTCTCCATCTCCATTGCCTTCTTGGTCAACATCTCTTCCTTCCTTTACAAGCAATTCACTTGGGTGCCATGACTAACTTCCTTTCCCCAAAACTTAGGCTCTGTTTCCACCCTCAGGGGTATTCCTGTGGGAGTGCCATCAATATTCCCTCCAGGGCTCCTTTGTATCATGGAAATTGCATAGTGGTGAGAGCCACACCCCAGCATTCCCTGACAGCCAGAATGGATGCGCTTTTGCCTCCAAAGGTGAACACATGCATTTTACTAGGCTATGTGACTCATGGATACTATTGAATGCCTTTAGCCCTCCCCTCTATCCAAGGAATCCTTCCAGAGGGCAGAGGCTACCTTCTTGTCCACCCCCATCCCTTTCCCACAGGAGTGCTGGAGTCTTAACCTAAAACCCGCGGGCTGATTCTCTGCCTTTACAGATAGATACTACCTCTTTACTTCATCTTCTGACAGCTCGTTCTGCTGGGGAAAAGAACCCTCAATAGTTACGTGTTTGCATGCCATGGCTGTTCCCAAAATGCTCAGTATAAAGAGTCCAGGTAACAGAGGTGCGTTTTCATTCCCAGATAAAAGCAAACAGACATTAAAGCCGACACGATTTTGTTCCTGGGATTAATACACACCACCTGCATGCTGGAGCCTCCCCTGTCTGCTGCCCTCTTCTCATTAGACTATCGGGACTTGAGCTTCACAGTGATGAATTCTGCCACGGCATAGCTGATCAAAGGGGTGGGAAAGTGGCAAAGAGCTGGGCTTATTAACAAATTAAGGCTCCATTTCCTCAGTTCCGTGACCCATGGGGTAGAACAAATGGGGCTCATCAAGGTCTAGCTATGCTTGCTCCTGGCTTTGGGGAGATACTTCAACAGGTCCGATGAAGTCCCTTCCTGTCAGCTGTCACCTGTCCTTCCCCCTTCCCTTCTTCTCCCACTCTTGATTTTGCAAACGACAATGATAACACTGAAACTGGGCTGGAGGAGTCTTTCTCCAGCAGGGATCTGACTTCAAACCATCCTCCTACTCTGAGGCCAGGTGATCTCTGGGACTCTATTTGACTCAATATCTGTTGAGCCCATGATGTAGCACAGCATTGGTCGGTTACATCCTCAGTACAGGACCAGGGTCCTGGGACACTTGAGTTATTTTTCTTGCCTTAGGGAAGAGGCAAGTGGAGGTAGGAAAAGTTGGGAGGGTGTATACTGATTCCAAAGGTCTTGTTTTCTCGGGTATTCTGGGAAGGTAGACTGTGACTGCTGGGGGTGGTGCTACCTCAGGTTTCCCATGTCACTAGCTCAGAACTACCGGTTCATATATTCTGCTTGTTGACTGCATCATGTGTCTCCTTCCTGGGTGGTCTCTCCATGGGTGATATTCTATTACTCACCCTCCCCTAATACCCTGGCTGGATCTGATCTCCTGCTCCAAGGGTAATTTGTCTCCTTGCCCTGCCTGAACAAACCTGCCAATGAGCATCCTGCTTTCAGGACTACTCTCCATCTTTTTCTGTTCCGTCCCTTTTCGGAGGCCTTCCTCGCAAATGGCAGGTGTGTAAGGGAAACACAAAATTGCCTTCAGTGTCGGGACAGAAGTGTTGTCAGCAGGGATTTCACTCTGAGAGGCCAGGCTGTAAAAGAAAATTTCCTCTTCTTGGTTTCCTCTTGCTTCCCACAGGTAAATAACAGGCATGTCCTACATTTGTTTTTTCCTCTGCTCCCATTTCTTCTACTTAATGAAAAAGGTAGATTCTAACTTTTTAAAGATATGTAGTGTCAGGTTCCCTTTGGAGTCCTTAGGGGGCTCACGGAAGCATCTGTGAGGAGGGACGTTTCTGAGCAGGACGGGGTCTCTTGGCTTATGTGCCCTCACCTCTGACCTTGACCCTGAGATTCCAATATGTAGACTTAGGTCACAGGCACAGTAACTGGTAAAACAGTAAGGAATTCCAGCTGAGGGTTTATGGTGCTTGTACCATAGATCTTATACTGGAAATCAGGCCCAGGTATCTGGTCATTCAAGCAAAGGGCAATGGTTTGGGCCTGGTGCTTACCTAGACTACAGGAATGAGATTCCCACTGTAGGTAAAGCTGCTGGTTTGACTGTTAGGTTTTTTCTATTTTTAGTAACATAGCTTACTGTCCTGCCAAGAGAAGCAATCCATTCCCCATCCAATTTAGTGTTTGCTTTGTGACTGCGTTCCCCAGTCTCATTACCAATGAGTAGTGCTGTACCAAGCTGGGAGTGTCCTTGAAGGACCCTGTTCTCCGGGATGTACTCTGAGAGCTAAGTGGCCTCCTAGTGGCCTGGGCTCCTCCCTGCAGTCTCTCTGCTTCCACACAGAACAGGCTTTATAGGCCAGGAACTGGGCAAGCTGGGTAGGTGGCCTCCCTGGGGCTGGGTGACTTTAGTACAACCCTTCTAGGCAGTGTCCCCCCCTTACTGTAGAAGGGCCATGTGGGCAGTGATCACCTCACACCCAGGCAGAGGAGAGAAATTGGAATTGGGACTTGGTTTTTTGAAATTATTGCTCCAGGGGTGTGAACCGGGGCCCTGCTCTGTTTTCCTCTCGGACCCTCTTAGGAGCTGGTTATTTTCTCCGGATTGTTAGCAGCCCCTCCCAATGCTAGCAGACGCTGGTCTCTTCCTCCACAGCAACGGTTCATAACCTGTCCGATCTGCCTGGCTGCGGCTCCTATGTAAGGACGTCCTCTGTCTTAGTTTTACCAAATCTCAGCCATCAGTCATATTATTTGGGCATGGAGGGAAAGGCTTTCTTCTATAAGTGATCTAAACCCTGATAATGAAAGAGCATTGCAGAGCACAGTGCTCACTTCCCTAAAGATCTTCTCTGTCTTTTCATGGAGGCCCTTCAGCACCCCTAGGATCTTTCCTGCCATCTAACTTCAAGCAGGTGACTGCAAAGCAATTATATTCTACCCCTGACCGTCCTAACCGCTTGTGGACGCCTCTGGCATACAAGACCGGGGATCCTCACGAGCAAGTCTCTGTTTCATTCAATCTCTCTTCCCCATGCCCCATCTTTGAGTCTAGCCCTCACGGGTGCTCAGAGAGGACTTGCTGAATTGGTTGAACACAACCACAGAGACTCCCATCGGCTAACGGACTGACACAGCAGCCATCTGACTGTTCTCTGGGATGCTTGTGGAAGTCCTTTCTGTGTCCTTTGTTACCATGGGACAAAGTCAAGCTTGGCTCCTACGCCCTAGCTCCTCTAAAACCCACTCTCCCTTTCTGCCAGTGTCGGAAGGAAGCTAACGCAGAACAAATAAAGACAGTCAAACGAGGGTGCTGGAGTTGACTTCTAAGCTGGCATCGCTCATTTCCTCTCCCTGCAGCTGGACAATGGAAAGCGGTTACATGAAAATTAAACCGTGCCAAGGGCTTTGGCTTGTCAGCCTCGATAAATGTCTGGCCCAGATCGAGACGCCTGCACCATCGCAACTGCCTGAGCACATTGCAGGAGAGTCTGGGAACCCCCAGAGGCTACATATTATGTGAACATCATCTACAATTCACTGGCAAATTCTTCTAAAGAATTAGATTTGTTCCCTCCCATTTTTTTATTTATATTTATTTATTTATTTTGAAAAGCCAATCTGATTAATTTCAATGTGGGGAGATGATTAAGAAAAGGCACTCCTTCCTTTGCTGCTAATATCGAGTCACGGAGGCAAGAAGACGGTTAATTTTGAAGTGTACCGGGTAGGGCTTTCTGCTGATTGTGTTGCTATTGATTCAAACAGCCACAAGTCTTTAGGATCATTTTTAGAGCGAAGACATGAACAGGGCTGAAATGAAAATCAGTCCCAGATAATGAACACTTCTGCTTGGAAATCATTATGGACTGAGCCCTGCTGGGAAGGTGCCGAGCCTGGGGAGTTAGCTCCTGCTTCAGCAGAGGAGATAGTCAGTGCTCAGTGATTAGCCAGTTCCCTGGGTCCAAGGCATCTGGCCCTTGGGGATATTTGTCTGATTTGATCAGTTCAAAAATAACAAGTGGGATTTCTGTTGGTTCGCTTATTTATTTATTTTTTCCATTTTCTCCAATATTCCGTGAACTTCTAAGGGAGTTTTCAGGAAGAGCCTAGTGTTTTCCAGCTGTTCAATTCAAGGCACCGACCACTAGGGAGCTGATAGAGGCACGCTGGTATAGTTTTTCTCCTGGGAAATGGAGGGCTACTTCCTGTGGATTGTGGGTACTCACATGGATTTACCTGGTGGCTAGTTTTCTCAATGTCTTGCAGGCTAAGTTTTGTGTGGGAAATGAGAAATATAGAGAGTAAAAGCTTTATGACATGAATTGAATTCAAGGAGTTCAAATTTCCTCTTTTTTTTCCAATGTCATAAATCAATTTTCCAGGGAAGCTGATGGAGAAATGAATTGGAAAGTCCCTTTGTTTGTATTGTCTGTGACTGCTTTCATGCCATAAGGTGGGACTCAACAGGAGCAACAGAGAGAACAAATGTTTACTGCCCTAAGTCTCTCCTTTCTGGATCTTTCCAGACATAAGCTGTTGATCTCTGATGCACAGGAAGGGGGCACTAGCAGAGGTCGCCTTCGTAGAGACTCAGGGTCCCTGGAAGACTCCCTGGATAACCTGAGAACCCATGGTCTAAACTAAGCATGGCGGACGGATGGCTAATTGAAGAAAGTTCTTACAGAAATCACAGATTTTGCATCTGTGTAACTCAGAGCCTTGGCCAGACTAATAGTATTTGTTTAAATCTGTTAGAATACAGTCAGCTTTCCTGGAGAGACTTCTTCAATGGGCTTAATGGCTTTTCTCCAGTGGGTCAACCCACTCAGTGCTGGTCTCTTCTGACCTCATCCTCCTTTTTCTCACCCTCTCTGTCTTTTAGGTTGCCTGCGTATGGCAGTCTACCTGTTTTCAGGCTCAACCTATTTCCAAGCTCTGAACAGCAGACTCAGGTTGTCCATTTGGCCAGCTAAGCAATGGACTGGTCTGTGGCCAAACCAATCAGCTGCTTCTCCTGGGACTGAGTTTGCCTCTCCTTGACTGCTCATCTGTCCCTGAGAAGTCACAGAGTGTCCAAATCATCTGGGAGTTCGGGTTTCAAAAAACCACCCTACAGAGCCTGAGAAATGCCAATGTGATTAACATCTTACACTTTTGGCCAGAGTATCTGGTGGGAAGCATATGCCGTTACCTACCACTTACCTGGATGCCTGCTGAAGCTGGTTATTTTATGACTACAACCCCTCCTCGATCTTACCCAAGGTAACAAGTGAGTGTTGGGAACAGGATAAATGCCTCTGGTCCCAGTAGCATCATTTAGATGCCTCAGCTTTGGAGTTGGCATAGAGAATGACCTTGTGCACTGCCAGAGGAGGGAAAGGCTTTCGTTTCTTGTTATCACCATTTCCCTGCAAATAAGTCCAGCCACCAAATGCCCCCTGCAATGACACATCTTTGCTGGTTTATCCTAATGCTTCCTAACCTCCATCTGCTTTCCCCTCCTCCACATCATACAAAACATAAAGGTCTTCTAATACTCCAAGCAGTTCACCTAACCATGAATGAGTAAGGCAGCCACAAGAGGTAGCCCGGGGGCACGAGAACAGCTTTCCACCCAATCGGAACTGGAAAGTCAGAGCAGAACAAAGCACTCTCATAAACCCTAGACTTAAATATTTGCAATCAAAATCTCATTCAAAAAGGATTGGTTTTAAACATACAAAGTGTTCCCTTTACTGCCATAATTTTGGGAGAATTCAGTAGCTCCTAATATGCCTGACTGAAGAATGTCTTTTTATTTAAATAATGGGATTGTGAAGCCCTAACTGGTCCTGTAGATTTTTCCCCTTGTAAATGTGCAGAAAGTGCTTAACAGAAAAGGGGCATTTGATTGGGGGTAATTCACGAGAGATGTGTCTATTTCCCAGCAATGAATATAAAATCTCAAGTTTCTTCCAAGAAAGAAAAATTAGGGCACCGATTGAGTTGGTAAATGTGTCCCTGTTCAACCTGCATTTTCTGTCACTTCCTTCTCCTTTCTCCTGTGTAATTCCCAGACTTGTTTGTGTGTCTTCTGTTAACTCTCAGGTCCTCTATGGGGAAAGGCCTGTCTCCTTCAGCTTCATGCCCTCCCCACTGGAGAGTACTTAGCGCATAGTGGGTACCCAGGAACGTGTGTTAATACAGACATAAGTAGAACCATGGACTGTGAGCAGAGGACAGCCTATACCTCTGAACAGACTCTGAGCAGGACACTGACTCTGAGCCTCAGTTTACTCAGCCCAGAAACATACCCGCTAGCAGATTTCTCAAATATTTCCCAAAGTTACTTGGAGGCTCAAGAAAGGGAAGGTGTGCGTGAAACGCCCCAGGAGACGGAGCTATAGCATGCGGTAGATCTCTCCAGCTGGAAGGGGGCGGAGACCTGGCATGGATCCTCACTGCCCAGAGGGCTGAGCAGAGGACTGGACGACATCAGTCACAGCCACTCTCCGAATGTTCTGTTGAATGGTATGGGGGAATAGTTAGTTGAACCCCAAAGTTATGTGACGAGAAACTGACGGTGGACGGGGACCGAGTCAATTTGGGATGGGCCTGGGGAAGAGTGGGATGAGGAGGATGGCCTAAACAGACTGAGAACAAGGGGAGCTCAAGGTGTTTGGAGCAAACATGTTTTCAAAGCCTTGTGGGGCCCTTGCCACAGCCTTCATTCTTGCCTGCTATTCTCTTGGCCACAAAAGATTGTCCACTAGTTACTATAGCAACAATTCTCCTCACGAAGTGCCCATGTTAGAATGGGGATGGAAAAGTCTTCCTTATTAAAATAAGAAAAAGAAACAAGAAATTAGGGTTTTGATATATTTGCCCCCTATTCAAAGCGTCCCTCCTTTTATGAGAAAAAGAAAGAGGCAGCTGCTATTATCATGAATACGCTTTGAATTCCTAGCAGTTAAATTTTCCAACTTCCATCGCAGACTGCGAGAGCACATATTTGTTCCACTACATCTGAAAATGATGTTATTTCCTCGAGAGAAAACAGTCACCTAGGAGATAAAGGACCACAGGCTAGGTGGTGGCAGCCTTGTCAACCTTAAGGCTGCCCTTATCTAGGGGAGTCCAACCATACCAACCCCCTGTCAAAGCAGATTTCCAGCCACTATGAACCTTGCTGAGTCACCCCATTAGTCCTTTCTCGGGCTCCTGGCAACAGCCAAACTTAAGCTGTCACCCGAGCAGTGCCTTGTGACATGCTTCCTGGGTCCCGAGGTTCTGTGTGGTGATAGCCCCCGACAGGGCCGCCCCACTTACCCAGGCATCCCCAGGCAGGTCCGAACGCTGGTCAGTAAGCCCTTTGATGAGGATCCACACTACTTATGGTCAAAGACCAACTGACTTTTGGTTTTGAACTTTTTATACTAGTTTATGTAGTCTTAGAAAGAAGTAAAAAGAAAAGGCTCTCAAAGCTAGGAACTTTGTGTGTGTGTGTGTGTATGTATGTGTAAGTGTGTGTTTGTGTGTGGTGTTTGTATATGTACAGGTATCCTATGAACCCTTCCCTGGAAACTCAATTCTGCTTCAACAAAGGCTTTCTTTTCAGTTCTTCAGCTCTAAGACCTTAGGTTTATGAGATTCCATTGCCCTCCCTGTAAAAAGCAACCTGGAGACCAAACCTAGGGAGGACCTGCTGGTGTAGGTGGAGAAAGGCTGTTTAGTTAAGTACATACACAGTGAGTAACAACCCAAGGAGTCTGAGAACACTAACTTCGGGGTGGTAAGTGACAAAGGTGGACTTCTCCCCTGCAGAAAAGAACGTGTTCAGAACTCTGTAGACTGGGTGAGTGACAGGATTCTGGGTGAGCCCAGGGCAGTGAGGGCTACAGGACAATGGAACCATCCTGAAGTCCTCACTGATGGTGACACTGGGCTCTTGGAACTGCCCTACGGCTGGGAACACCGGCAGTACCCAAACCACAGAGGGCAGATTCGGGGAAGCCGATGGCCTTCCCAGACCTGTCATAGAAATCAGAGGTGAGTGTGACAGGCTTGGGTATACATTGGGTTGGGCTTTACAAAAGGGGCACACAGGGTGGTCAGCAGAGCTGCGGGAGCTAGTAGGGGAGAGTGGAATCATCCCACTCTAGCTGGGCTTGCCTCGTGCCGCTCTGCCCATGTCTGCCTCTGCCCGTGCCTTCCTCCTCTTCCTCTTCACTGTCGTCAGAGCCGCTGCTGCTGGAGCTCACGCCTTCCTCTGCTTCCTCTTCTTCCTCTCCTTCAGTCTCATCTTCCCCACGCCCTGGTCCTTCGTGTTTCTGGACGCCAAGGACAAATGAAATACGCATCAAGGACTGGACAGGGTCCCCTGGGAACTCTGTGCAACAACGACTTCAGACTCTTGGGATTCATTTAACTCAAAGCTAAGCCCCTTACCCTGCCTAGATAGGATCTCTGGGAAAGAGACTTGGTAGAGGAAACTCAGAAAGTCAGATAAAGGTCTATAATAGCAGCAAATCCCAGGACACATAGTCAAGGTAACATATTAGTGTCACGGACGAGATGGGCATTTAACCAACAACGTCACCTACTGAATCTTTCAGATCCTTTAATTAGAACTTTCCGTTCTTAACTGTTTGCTTCCCAGGGGTACAATCATGCTTAATCTTGGACACCTTTCCATGTGGGAACCTCGTATCCCTGGAAATAGAAGGTTGTCTAAGCCAAGGTGCGGTATACTGTAATGAGAAACTATTCTTTTGCAAAGGCCAGTTTAGGTCCTCACTTTCCCTGCCTGCCTCCTTATGCCATAATTTGTGAATTAAAACTGCACGCTACCCTCCCCAGTTCCGTTTTCCCTTCTGACAGCTTTGTGGTGATTGCAGCAACATCCTTTTTTTCTGGGTTTATGTTTTGAGTTGGCAATTCAGGCCATGAGCGATATGTTGCCTTGTGTGGCTACATAGATTATCTGTGGCTCTTTAGATTATCTTCTGTCCATATCTGTCTCCTCCAAACCCTTCCTACAAGGTTTTCCTTATGTTAGTGTCCCCTAATGATAGCTATTTTCTTGAATGGCAGGCCCCCAAGAGTCTACACATTAGAGCTTCAGCAAGAGCTGGTCTTACTGGGTCCGCCCCTTTGAGGCACACTGTTTGCTCCTCAGATTGCTCCTGCTTCTTACACTTAAAGTTAGTCTCTTTGAGGATGGAAGCGCATACTTAAAGAAATCGTGCCATGCTGGCCGTGAAACAGGAGCAGGGGATGAGCTGTGAGTAGAACTGGAACCAGTCAGCAACGATCATCTCTATTATTTCCCTATGACTTTCTCTGGGCTTGTGTCTTCCAGACTCGGCATCTGTGTGCCAAAGGAATGATAGGAAGATATATAGACCAGCCCCCTCACATGGTCATAGATGCCTTCTGGGGGCTCCCGGACAACCGAAATCCAGGGAGCTTCAGAATTTTACTGCCTTGACTTTGAATGCTGGCTGCATGCATTTGAACATGGTACCACCCTTCTCTCAGCCTCAGCTCTCACCTTGGTAAATGAGGGTGATGCTTCCCACTTCACATGGTGCTTAGGTATACAGACCATCTGTTGCAGTGTCTAGCTAAAGGGGCCCTTATTAAACAGCAGGTGTTGTTGCTGAGCTTTTGTTTTAACTTATTCCAAGCCTGTAAGTGAGCTCTGTAGGCCACCTAATTTGCACTGTTAACTAATCAAGAGTTCAATATTAAATTCCTGAGTGTTCGTCAGCTCTGAACGACAGTGGGGGAGAGGAATAGACACTGAATGGCTACTGGCTTTAAGAAAATTCTAGCTATGTTTGTGGGATAAGAAAGATGGCACATTTTAAATTAGAGAACACAGTTCATAGGGAAATAGGGCTTGCTCATGTCGAGAGGACTGAAGAAGCAGAGATGGGAGAATCACTGGAAATGGGACTCATTAGACTAGGAGGAGTCTGGATCCAGGATCGGGGCAGAAGACGAGCCCAGTCAATCAGCAGGAGAAGCCCCCACCCCCACCCCAAGCCCACATCCCAGAGAGTATCACCTCCATAGGGTTGACTGTGATCGTCAGGGCCGAGTCATCCCAATCCATCTCAGCCTCTTTGGCGGCCTCGGTCTCTTGGAGAAAATGCTGGTGGGCAATTCGGACTCGGTAGACACCCATGGCCACAACGAACACCAGCATGCACACGGAGATAATGATGACCACTGTGGCGATGCTCGGGACCACTGAAACAAAAAAGGAACCAAAATAACATGATGATCAAAGCAATCACTCATTCTTCCAAAGAACAAGACATCTGTGTTCACAATAAAATCTTCCCTCCAGTTTCTCAGTCATAGGGTTCTGGGGCCTTATCTCACTATGCCTGGGATATACTTTCATCCATGTGTGTTAGATGTTACACCGGCTCTGCTATGGTAATTGTGAAGAGTAAGGAAGATAATCTCTGTGAGCGTCTACAGAGGCACACAGTAGGCATTCAATAAATGTAGATTCTCTTTTACTCATGGCTTTTCTCCTCAAATTGTATGGAGGTTTCCTCTGAGTTAGGCACTATAAAATTTAGTAGGAATATGTGTGCGACCAGACGGTGACACAATACAGCAAGCACTCAAGCAAAGGCATGGGCAGATGACTTTGAATATGCTAAGTGTGGAAGCGGTTCATGGAAAGCTGTTGAGTTGGCCCTGAAATGACTAACATAACGTCTCAGCCCTTTCTACCCATCTCTGTCATTACGGGTTGCATGAAACTCCTTGCTTAGTTGATTGACTCCCTGTTGAAAGCAGATGTGTTCAGAGAGAGGGTTTGTAGTTGCCCCACAGGAGTCCCTTCCTCAGCTCCGAGCACCTTTGGGAGCTACAATATAACTGTCTGCTTAGTGACTGTCTGAATTGCCATCGAATGTCCTACCTGAGCTGCGTTGGATACTAGTCCGGGACTCAGGGTGATGGACAGACTGGAGGAAGGGTGGCTGCACAACAAGGTGGTTGACGTGCTCCTTATCAGAGACTCTGACTTCATGGAGGACACTGACCTGGGAAGAGCAAGGAGAGACGCAAGCAGGAGGTTGAGATATTTCTCTGAATGAATGAGGCAACGTGCAGGTGGGTCCGGCCTCCCCTAACAATGGCAGGATACACTCACCTCCAGGTTGAACTCATTGCTAGTGTAACGCCCATTGAGTTCTGAACACTTGATCCGGAACCTCCGGGTCTCAAGGGAAGTCGGATGCCAGTTGCGGTAACGGAGATGGTGCAGCACTTGCTCGTAGCGGCTCATGGACCCTACACCTGCACAAAGAGACCATACCTACTGTCAGGAGGAAAAAGAGAAGGGGGAACTGTAGGCATAGGAGACAGACTGATGCCGTCAGGGCTGTGAATTTCGGGTAAAAGTCAGAGCACTTATGGATGGAAAAGGAGCAGAAGCAGAAGCTTCAAAGATGAAACCAATCCAAAGAGTTTCCATGTAGACTAGTTTATGACTGGAATGTTTGGCCCCAGTCTGCCAAACGTAGCTGAGGCATTTTCTGGGATCACAAAGTAAAGTCCCTCTCTCAGTTTCTACAGATTCTCAAAGAATAACGATAAGGTACAGTTTTCCCAGAGGGTGGAGTTACTCTAGAAAGTAAAGGCTAGAAACATAAGAATTTCCACTTGACCCCTAGGACTGCACGATGCACCCCATCCCCAGATGCTATGATAGCCAGTGTCCCTTGACAAGGCTGTTCTGAGAGCACACCACTGAGCAGAGGGAGTGTGGGACCTTACTGTAAATAGATAGAGTAGCTGGCCGTAGAGATAGTGGCATCTAGCGGTCATTGGTGAAGCTCACTGTGGTTGAGGACACAACACTGAGCAGAGGGGCTGTGTGGGACCTTACCATAGATGGAGTAGCCTGCCGTAGAGTTCGTGGCATCTAGGTGTCGTTGGTGAAGCTCACTGTGGTTGAGCTCCAAGCACTCATGTCTCGGATCCAGGTCCCCTCCAAGTACCAAAATGTCACAGAAATCCAAGTTGTGTAGCATTTCTTCCAAGACTGACGATTTGGGGGCTGCAGGAAGGAGGGTGCATGAGAAACACCAGCACTGAGAGCTCTTGCTCACCTCGACACCTCCTCTGTTACTGCTTGCACATCCAGGTGGGACAGGAGAAGGGAGCATGCAGCCCCGTTAGCCACACCCATTGCTCAAGCATCAGGGCATCTTCAAGAAGGTGGCGTGAGTTAGTGGGGAGAAGGCATGTGTCTTTGAGGAGCCATATATTACTCAGTTTCCTCATCAGGGGGGACATTATAGGTCATAGCCACAGTTTGCATTTGGGAAGAACTAAGTGGCTCTTCATCAAACTCGTGTGCTTTTTCCATGTGGATTGTGTGTGTGTCTGCATGCACACATGTGCATGCACATGCACATGCATACATGCATTCTAGAGCTTCCACGCATGAGTGTGTATGCCCACACCAGGCTCCGAGGATCTCAAGGGAAGAAACTTATTTAGAATCTGACACAGGAACTGCCATGAAGCAGCCTCTATGCTTTACTCAAACAGAAATGGCTTGTTCATTAATCATCACCAGATTCCACAAGATATAAGCAAAAGTTAATTAATAATTAATAAATTAGAGCAAATTGATTAGTTCATATGCTCTCACAGGAGCACATTAGCAAGCTGGTCAGTATGGTGGTCCTTGCCTGATTTTATGACTCCAAATTTCTGCAGGAAATATCAATGTATTGGCAGTCTTAACTATAAATCCCATTTAAAGACAAAGGTGTTGGCTACTTATGGAATGGATGCTGTGTGCCAGGCACAGTGCAAGGATAATAGACACTAGTACTATCCACAGTCCATCACTGGGGGCATAGATGCTCGAAGAAGTGGAGGGGGGTAGTTGCCCAAAGTCACACAGAGAGTATGTGATAGAGTGTGCTGTTCTGGCCCTATAACTTGGAAACTTGTAACTTCTAAGGCTACATCTTCAAATATTATTGGTATCTATAACAATACAAATGTTTAAAAAGACATTCAAAGGACAAGGCAATTATTTTCATTAAAAAATTCCAGTGGTACCTAAAATAGTTTTGTTCTCATTAGCTACATATTATTAGAGTTTCTCCGTGCCTAAGTTTTTACTGTTAGCCAACCACAATGGTTCCTTGTGTTACTAGCAATATATAAAAGCACAATAATCTACATTAACACTGAGGTCAATTGTTAGCAGAAGTGAATGTGCAATTTCAAATCTCTGCCAGGTGTTTTCTAGCTTCCTATCAGGTGGAGTTAGGTCACCTTCCTCATAATACGACTGGCTAGAGTCGCACTAGGCAGGTGTGTGTCCTGGTTGCTACCTCATGGTTATTTCCCCATGGCATTATCTTCTATCCCTTCGTTCCCGGGTCCACTGTGTCGAAGGGACTGCTGGGTTAGGAGCCCTGAGTGGAATCACTCACGACTGAGCCCTCCAGGATTTTCTGGTCTGGTTGAACAAACAGGTAATTCACCACCAAGAGCTACATCTACTAAAGAGAGCTGGAGGGAAGCCCCAGCCTTAGGCATCTCAGTCTGGGAGTCACGTGGGGATGAGCAGAACATTTCAGAAGTTGTGTTGAATGAGATCATTGCAAACAGTCGATAGCAGGGGTCAGAACAGAGATGGGTACAAGGGAGCCAAGTAGACAGAAGCATGGAAACATATATGTGCTGGGGGTATTGAGTATGTAGCTGTGTGCTCCTGCATAAATAGGAATGGCCATGAGTATATGTGTATATGCGCCAGTGGGGGGCAGAAGATGACCCTGGAACCTGTCACTGTGGCCTGGTAGCAAATGCAGTTGGCCTGCTCATTTACGAGTCTCGTAAAAATGACTATTTCAACAGTAAGTGTAGAAATGTAGAAGTACTAATAATAGCTCTCGGGCACCGGGCTGTGTGCTCTGCCTGCACCTCTCATAAATAGAAGGCGAAGTGTGGACCCAGTTAACTGCTCCCCCGCCCCCCCCCCCCCCCGCCTTGCTGTGTGCGGGTATCTGCTGCCGCAAAGCTCAATGCTCTTGGGCTGTGACCACTGAAGTCAGCAGGCCTTCTTTTTCTCAGTCCGATTTTAGCCACAAATGAGTACAACAGAGGAGGGAAGGGTCACCTGACTTAATGCACCTTGGCATGTAACTCAGAAACCACCCTGGCTGGCCAGGTGTGAAATACCAACTATTTTTAGGCATTCAGGAGGTCTGCCCCTTGAGAACCTAATCACGGGGGACCAGTGTGGTTCAAGACGGTGGGTAATTGGGATTATTATAGAAGCAGCTCTTCAGGGACTCAGGCCTACTGGTACCAGCACATCATTAGCAGCGGCTTTGGATGGGGGAGGGGGTTGAAACCATGCTTCTGGAGGAGGCTTTGAAGGACTGTTCTCAGACAAGCATTGCCCCGTGATGCTGAGTCTCTCTGAGTTGCAAAAGGAAGGCTCCCTTCCTTCCTCTCTGCAGACTCTCTCTGTGGGCTTCTTTCCTTTTGTCTGCATCCAGCATATGCTCTTGCTTTCTGTGTAACGGAGTGTTTCTCCCAAGCAGAGAATGAAAACTAATCCTTCCCTCAGCAACAGCCCTAATAATGAAACTGGTGGGAATTACAACCTGGGAGTTCCCCGAGAGCTCAGTCATATTTGCCGAGTGAGCCCCAGCCTTGTGTGGTGTATATGGAAATGCAGAGCCGGGCTCTATCCTTTGCACACCGTTAGTGCTTCTTCTGATGATGGAAAAAAATACAAACCCACTCCAGGGCATTTGTGCAGTCACAGAAAAGGGAAGGCAAATTGTCTCTCTCCGTGCTTCTCGGGGGACCCTGTGTTAGCACCAAGTATCTTTTCTTCTGGGCATCTCTTTCTTACACGGCTCTGATCATGCTACATGGGTACTGCTAAGTCTTCGTGTCGCTTCTCACTTAACATGTAGCACAAGTAGATTCCTTCTTGCTTCCTGTCACTAACATGGGTGTGCTACACTCTGGTGAGTTGCCTGTCTCTGTCCTGCTCATCATGAGTGTTTCTAGCTTTGTTTGATCTTTCCTGTTATACATCATCCTGCCATGGGTGAGAAGTGTGGTTATCCTGATGCATATCATTATACTCCACCCTCCCCGTGGCCCCATATGCACCTGTGCCTGTGGCTCTCGTGTCCCCAGAGGCTTCCGTTTTGGCAAAGCTGCTCACAATCTTGATGTCAGGGAATAGAGTCACTCCTCTGGCACTTTCAAACTGGGCAGCCGGTCTCCAGAAGCGCTCTGTTCCCTGGAGGGTGATCTGGGGCTCGATGGCCTGCAGGACCATGATGTAGGCGTCCACATCTGGGATGCTGATGCACACATCTTCCCCAAAGCACCTGGAAAGACATCTCCAGTCATGGCCCTGGTCAGCTGATGATTTAAACCATCCGGTCCAGAGCCGTGGGCAATGACTGCCACCTCCCGTCCTTGTCAAGGTGTCCTGGATGTTAGGGATCTCTGAGGGCGGCAGCAGACCTTCACATGTAAAGCCACATTAATACCCCAACCATTAACAATGCAGGGATGTAAAAGACTGGCTCCTGGAAGGGATGGGACTTTTCAATACTAGCAACAAGTTGCCATTAAAGCTTTCATTCTTTTAGCAAAGTAACATTAATTAGAAAGCAACTGTTTGCTTTTGTACATTAGGATTTGGTAAGGGAATTGTTGCCTGGTTGGCTATGGCCATTTTATGAAATGAGAGCCCAGGGCTAAATTCTCCTGCTATAAATATGCTTGTGTTCTCGAGCAAGGAACTCAGGACTGCGAGGGGTGCACCCACACACTGAGACAATGGGGATGTTCTATCGGGAACTCACCAAGGCCAGCTGGACTGGATCTGAAAAAGCATGGGATAAAACCGGACTTGCTGAACATAGCAGACAATGAGGACTGCTGAGAAGTCAAGAACAATGGCACTGGGTTTTGATCCTACTGCACATACTGGCTTTGTGGGAGCCTAGGCTGTTTGGATGTTCACCTTACTAGACCTGGAAGGAGGTGGGAGGTCCTTGGACTCCCCACAGGGCAGGGAACCCTGACTGCTCTTTGGGCTGATGAGAAAGGGGGAGTTGGTTGGGGGAGGGGGAGGGAAATGGGAGGCGGTGGTGGGGAGGAGACAGAAATCTTTAATAAATAAATAAATAAATAAATAAATAAATAAATAAATAAATAAGCTTGTGTTCTGTCTGTGGTGGTATCACAGAAGCACACCTCTTCTATGGGTGAGGGCAGGCTAAAGCAGTTATATTAATTTATGCTAGTGCACTGATACACAAGCATCTGGTAAGGTTTGGAAGGGGGAGAGATGAGGATCCATGCCCTGCTTGCCACTCCTGTCTAGTTCATTGCTTTGTACTTTAGCTTCTTATCCACACAATCGGGAGAGCAATGATCACCCTGTACTAGTAATGGCTAGTTAAAAAGACCCTCAAAACAGCTGCTGCCCAGAGCTTGCATCCTGATTTGAATCCAGTAAAGTCTAAGCTTTCTCATTAGGTTCACTGAAGCCTACAAGTCATCGATACTCTCCATTATCATTGACTCCAAAGACTTGGGCAAAACCAGTGAGCACTGCCTAGACCAATTGTGTATTCTAGACATTTAGGCTCTATCCCCATAGAGGCAGCCATCATCCTGTATGCTGAGAGAAGGTCCCCAGGGGAAGAAGGAAGGGTAGTTTGTGTAAGTCCCCTGAGGAGATGGAGTTTTTATCTCTTCCACACTCTAGGTTAGATGCTGAGTTTGGGAGCTACTGCAGGTTCCCAGCCCAGCTTCCTGTTACCCAATGGGCTCCCAATCCTCACAGTGGACAGTAGGTCTCAGTGACGGACTCTGGGCAGTCTCTTCCCTCTTCTTTACTGACTTTGGAGCTGACTCAGTGGTGCCTACACCTAACCTTAGCCTCTGGAGTGGGGACACATTTTCATCCCTCTGCTGAGCGTTGCTTCCTGCAGCTGGCATCTCTTTCAGGTCCAGAAATGCAACAGTCAGCAGACTCATCCCTGTGGTCCTTTCCCTTGAGCTTTTCTAACCCAGTTTCTTAGTGACTATATTTCCATCTCCTGAGAGTCTCCCTGCGGACCCTTACCTAGCAGTCATCTCAAGTAGCTGCCATGTCTGGGAAGTGATGTATCAACGCTTCAAGTAAACTATCAAAAACTTCAGTAATCTCATTTTGTTAATTGAAATCTGCTCCCTGGGGGACAAGAACCATGCTTTCTCTTCCTATGGCTTGCCCATAGTATTTAGGAATTCTACAAAGCAAAGTTAGTTAATTTAATCAAATTTAATAAATATTTATCAAGCACCTACCATGTGCTAGGTGCTATGCCCTTATATCAGACCATTTTAGACCTAGCTGTTGGAGAATGTATAGAAATCAGGCCTTTCTAGGCATCAGATTAATTGTGGGATAAAATACGGAAAGGTAGGTTTAAATTGGTGACACTACCTAATGTTTTCCTTAAGAAAGCAAAAGGAGAGCGCAGGTCCCTGAAGCATCTTCCCAACAGCAGAGTTGAGGAGAGTGGGGTAAGAGAAGCCCTGCCTGCAAAGGAACATTCCCAAGGGACCACTGTCTCAGCCTCAGCTGGGCCTAGGCTGCTTGGCTGTCACTCACTGGACTTTGGAAGAGAGTCTGAGGCGCCGGACCCCTGCTGTTGGGAACTGCCTGGAGTTGATGTAGGACACCTTCTGGAGGGCTCGGTTGATGTTCCCAATGTCATCACCTTCCATCACGAGGACGGACTGTGAAGGGTTGAAGTGATACTGGAAGACAGAAGTGGGCATCACAGGAAAGATGGTCAATGATAGGCACAGCGCTCTGAAAACTGCAACTCCGCAAAGAAGCCACTAAGGCCACCTTGGTCATCCCCAGAACATGGGAAGATGATGAAGCAGTTGTGGTCTCCACCTCACTAGGGAGTAGTACATGCTCCTTGTCCATGCTGGCAAATTTCTGATAGCTGCAATTATACACACACACACACCACACACACACACACACACACACCTCACAGCAGAACGTAAGTATCTCTTCTCTAAGCCCATCTATTCCTATGCTGTTAGTCTTTGGGAACTCAGTCAGACAGACAGGTGACAATGCCAACTTTCTCTGGTTTTATTTCATATTTCTCTTACTACATGGGAAGTTGAATATATATTTTCATGGGTTTAAGAAGAATATCTGTTTACTTTACCCTGATCTGACCAAAACGTCTTTACAGCAATACTCTTGTTCTGTGTTTGGGGATGAATGTGCCATTGTCCGGAGTCACTGGCATGGTGGTCCTAGTCAACTGATGGGTCTTCCTTTGTTTCCTTTAGTTATTATGTAAGTCTTTTATTTCTGCCTACTCCTTGAAGCACCTAGCTGTCTTCATTTAGGTCTCAATGGGATTGCATACTTTTTCTTCCTGATAACACTTACAAAATAGTACCATGGTTACATGGTATACTGAGGAGGGCTTTGTTCACTGATCACAGGGACCCTACTGATCCATGATCCCAGTGATCTGAGAACTGTTAGATGGACAAACAAATGGTTCCTGTTAGACCGATGACTGGATGGTTCCTCAAGCCTCCTTTTACTCAGCACCATCTCCTATCAGTCCCCACGAGATCTTCTAGTCCTTTTCAGCAGAGCTCGCACCAAACTCTGCTCTCTCCCCTTCCTGGGCACTGTAGAAACAGCACTTCCTATCTCCTTTGTGCCATGTGTTTTAAGGTCATGTGACCACACCTGACCAATGAGACATGAGAGAAAGGGAGGTTGGATGCTCTGGACCAGGGCAGGGAATTGCCCTATGCAGTTCTCTAGTCTTTCCCATCCACTCCAATGACCTTTATCCTCTACATAGTTACTCTACCTCATCCCCTCTACTTATGTAAGAGGTAAACACTTTTATGTGTCCAGTCCACTGAATCCTCCTCCAAATACATAAATAAATTAGCAGAAAGGTCTCCTGTGCCTCAAAAGGACCTGTAATTTGCTGAGAACCTATTAGGTTTGCTACAGAGATATATTATCTATATGTTTAGTAGATTGTTACATTGCCAAAAGAAATAGAGTATCAGTTTCTTTTGTACATGGTGGTGGGGCTTTGGGGGTTGAAATATCTTGCCCAGGGTCACCAAGGGAGGAAATAAATAAATATTATAAATACTGGTGTTGAGAACATAGGAGTGTCTGGTGCTAAGGTCACTATTCTTTCATGCTCTCCCACACTGTGAAGGTGATGGTGGCAAGGAGGGTGCTGTGAAAATTAAAACATGATACTCTTCTGAAATGTGGCTATTCAGTGGTATCTTGCATAGGTGCAAGGCAGCAGACACCACATCAGGCTGGAGCTAGGCCCTATCCATGGAGACATTCCTTCAGCAAGAGAGGTCTTGCTTTTTTATAAGTCAGTCACACAGAACACGGCTAGTCACTGGCAAATCAAATGGTAGTCATTCAGCAATGATGGGCAGGAGACACGCAGGGTCTGAAGGAAGTTAGTTTTAATAATGGTCAAGGCCATCTTTTAATCAGAATTGCTGGTGTGAGGAAAGAGCAAGGACTTTCTTTGGACAAGTCCCCAAGCCCCAGTCCCCTTGCTTTTGAAATGAGGTCATAATCTTTAATTTGTTTTGAGGGATAGAGACAATGAACATAAAGTAGCCCCCAGTGAGCGCTCTGTAAACTGAGTGTCTTAGTAACTTCTCTCGCAGACCTCCTGCTCTCACAAGTCAGGCCTTAGGGATGGGAAAGGACCATTTGTAGTGACTTGGGTATGAGCCGGTGGGATGCCAAACGGCCTCCCCTAAACCCCTCTATTTGTGTGACACTTAGCTTAGCACTTTTTCTTTCCACAGGCGATGACTACTCATTAGAAATCACTTTGGTTCTTAATTTATTATTCACAAAATGCCTGGCTGTTAAGTCTAGCATCTTTGTTTTTTTTTTTTTTTTTCCTCTGTCAAGCCTGGAACTCTGCAACGGTGGTCCTTGGGGATGGTTCAAGGAAGAGGCTGCATTTATAGGCAGGCAGTGAGTCGGAGTGCGAAAAAGAGAGGGTTGGAGGCTAGATCTCTGTAGCACTGTGTGGACAATATGCCAAGGAAATAACACATGCTGATCAGATCAGCTTTCCCTGGGACATGTGATTAACACGCGTGTATGAGCTTGTGTGTGTCAAAGCCATGGTTGGTAAACAGTATCTGGGAATTCAGTCCTGCCTAACCATGCCTCTGTATTCTTTTCATCTTCCTCTTCTGACCCAGTGTCTAGGGTAGGGATCTTAAACCCTGCAGGCCAAGATTATTTTCTCTTATTTGAGCCTTAAATGGCTCCTCGTAGTTGACAGGAAACAAAATACATCTAAATGTATCTAGGAGTCCATGATATGGTCTTCATCTAGCTCCTTGGTCCCACTTTTGTCCTACTATTTGGGCGCTTACGAAACTAGCCCCGAGGTTCCTGTGCATTTCTGTGATGCTCCTTTGCTACCGCGCTCAAATTCCCAGATCGTCTTGGAGTGTCTGCTCACTATTTCCCTTCCTTCACTGGCAGGACTCTCACCTGATCTTACACATTCTCCTCAGGCTTCCCCTCCTTTGGGGAGCCTTCCCTGAAGGCCATTCATCCTGAATCTGAAGCTATGGTGTGGGGCTGCCTAGATTCAGATTCTGGATCAGCCCATCACTAACTTAAGGATGTTTCTTGAGCATCCTTTATCCTTCAGTTCTCAATATCAGAACAACACAGTACTTTTTATCAATGGGAAGGGATATCACAAAGAGTGATGGTCATAAAGCATTTAGAACAAGCATTGTCTGCCTCTTAGAGTCCTTAGAGAATGTCAATACTCACTGTCAATGTAGTGGTACCCAAACAGGTTTATTGACCATTAGAGCTACTGAAGTATCTAAAGACAACATGCCCATAACAGCAACATGATATGTTTACTGAGCTGATCACATTTTAATGAATGTCACGGTGCTCAGGCCAGCAGGCCCTGTTTGCAAACCCAGGGCCAGAGTCCTCAAGCATTAGACCCTTGTTATGTTAGGGGCAGGTTCTGCTAGGAAGTGAGTCCCTGGCTACCAGGCCCATGGTAGATGGCAAGGCAGGCCCATGATAGACTGGAGACAGATGGGCAGCAAGTAGAGATTCTATGTTCTTGTCACTTTCCCTTGGGAAATAGCCATGGGGAACTGATGGAGGTGGGTCTTGTATCTTATCTGTTGATTTCATTGGTTAATAATAAAGAAACTGCCTCGGCCCTCATAGGACAGAAAATTAGGTAGGCGGAGTAGACAGAAGAGAATGCTGGGAAAAAGAAGCTTAGAGAAGAGTCGCCATGATGCTCCCACTCCAGACAGATGCAGGTTAAGATCCTCTCTGGTAAGCCAGCTCATGGGCTACACAGAATATTAGAAATGGGTTAGAACAATATGTAAGAGCTAGCCAATAAGAAACTGGACCTAGCCGGGCCAGGCAGTGTTTGAAAGAATACAGTTTCCATGTAATTATTTCTGGGTATAAGCTAGCCATGCGGGCGGCCGGGTGCCGGGGACGCAGCCCTGCCGCTCCTATTTCAACAGATGGCGCCCAACGTGGGGCTAAATCCACTTAAAAACCTGAGAAGCCTTAAAAATAAGGGAAACAGAGTTTAACACAGATTTTTGCTGTTTTGTTGGTGACATGCTGTAGAGAGATTCCTGATTCAGCAACAGCAGCAGAGAAAAAAAGCTGCGTCATTTTAAAGCGCGGCTTCCTGGTGCTATGCTGCCAGCGTGAACTCTGGCTTTAAAGCATTTCAAGGCTTTTATGGGACTGGATGTTTCTGTTCCCACTTGGGATCGGAGGAGATTGCTCTGAGACCTGCCGATGGCTCAGCGTTCCCTGCCTACACCTGGGCAGATGGCGGAATCAGGCTTAGGCAGGCGGAAGAGCATGGCGGATTCCTGCTGCCATACAGAGACGCGTTTTCAGACTGCGCAGTGCTCTGCGTGTCAGATTTGGCTGTAACTTGGATAAAAAGAGTTTCTGTGCTGCACACTCAGTCTCAAAATTAAATTGCTGATTGCGGCTCCAATGTAAACTGCTGTTTGCCTGTAACTGTGCTCAGCTCAAAAGCACCAAATGACTCTGAGGCAGGAGCGGCTGCTCCTTGCTGAACTGTGCTGATCTCAGGCAGGAACTACCGTAATTACCTTAAAACCGTGCAGTTAAGGTTTAGACTGGGCAGGACACAGGCAGTACCGTATTACCTATACATGGTGCAACTTAAGTTTTTAAGAAATGCTTAACATTTTAAGAAATGCTCCTGGAAAAAAAAAAAAAAATTACAGATTCACAGTAAAACAGATTCAGACACCGTTGGATGAATGTACGTAGGCTTGGGGAAAAAAAGAGAATATAAAGAATAAAGTTAATGTCTTAAAAAGAAAAAGGGTAAAGTCTTTAAAGAGACAGAGTACAGAAGTACAGATAGTTATAGATTAAGAGAAATAAAGAAAAATAAGCCACGTAAAAATGAAAAATTCACAGAGAGTCTGGATTATGTACATTGTGTTTTCTTTAAAATTTTTGACTGTGAAGGAGCTAAGTACAAAGAGACATTTTATTATATGGGCTGCTAAGCTGAACCTGCACATATGTTCTAAAGGTATCTTGACTTCAAAATTTGGATCTAAGGATATGATGCTTTGGAGAGGGTCTTCTTTTGTTTCCACAGAGGATGTGACCCTATGGATTGCATCTATCCCGGTATGGTATGATAGACCACGCCCTCCTGAAAGGTTGCTGTGAACACCCTCAAAAAATTACTTCACTCAACTGCCAACCGAGATGAACCTGACACACAGGTTACACCCTAAATGATCTGATTAACAGTGCCCCCATTCAGCAGGAAGCAGTTTGGAGAGAAAAAACTACGCCCATGTTCCCAAATATTGTTTATAAATGTTCTTTTACATTTAAAGGGGGATATGATATAGATATGAATAATTTGCATTGGTATGGATTTTAAGGTCAATTTTGTTATATGTATATGTATTTTTGAACTTGATTAAGGTATTGTGATTATGTAGTTCACTTAAAATGTAATGTATAATTAGGAAATATAGGTTGTTAATGGATAATCATTGCTAATAGTTAAGCTTGTAGTCATGTTAGTTAGATTTTCTAGATATATAGAGATATATTTCAATTAGATAGGCATTCTTCATATCTTTCAAAGACTGCAGAATATGGCATTTAAAATATTTTAATAACTTAGGACTTTTCATGACAAGGAGACACGTCTGCTCCTGGCAGCACCAGCTACTTCAAGAGGAAGATGGGCATCGAAGAGGATCCTTATGGAGTTGGATAGTCATTTGGGCAAGAAACTGCTCTTGCCTGGACTGTTGCATAAACTGGACACAGAGAACCCTCAGAGAGAGGACTGCTGAACTTGCCTAAAGGTGAGATGGTCTTTCGGGGTTCCTGATTCATGAAAGAGTCTACAAGACATTCTACAGAACACAGCAGAAAGTGACTGAACTGTCTTTAAAATTTCCTGCTTCATGGAAATGTATCTGGATACCATGGGCCTGTAGGCCGAAGATGGATGCCCCAACGGTACAGAGGAACTTTGGGTGACTGTCCAGGCAGCGAGATGTCTCTGTCATTTCTAGAGTTTTCTTATTTCTTGTTTACTTAGATAATATTATATCCTTCTGGAGTCTTTGATGGAGTTGAAGAATAAATAGTTATAGTTTTCCTTAGTTATGATAAGAGATAAAATAGATATAAATATTGTAACTGTAATTCTTACTTGATAACTGTTTTGTTATATGTAATTTTACTATGCTAAAGTTAAAGCCTTTCTTTTTTGTTTAAACGGAAAAAGGGGAAATGATGTGGGAATGATTTCTTACTAATAAAGAAACTGCCTTGGCCCATTTTATTGGATAGAAAATTAGGTAGGCGGAGTATACAGAAGAGAATTCTGGGAGAAAGAAGGTTAGAGGAAGAGTCGCCATGATGCTCCCACTCCAGACAGACGCAGGTTAAGATCCTCTCTGGTAAGCCAGCTCATGGGCTACACAGAATATTAGAAATGGGTTAGAACAATATGTAAGAGCTAGCCAATAAGAAACTGGACCTAGCCGGGCCAGGCAGTGTTTGAAAGAATACAGTTTCCGTGTAATTATTTCTGGGTATAAACTAGCCATGCGGGCGGCCGGGTGCCGGGGACGCAGCCCTGCCGCTCCTATTTCAACAGGGAACTACTGTGGCTTCTGGGCACTCCAGGAGATGTCTTGGTCTTCAGGACACAGAGGGTAGGCCATCCTGACTTCCAGAAAAGAGCTAGGGACGTACTTTCTCACATTGGGGCCTGTCATGATTCATCGGGGTTTTCGATGGGACTGACCCTGTTTTTTATTCAGAACTCAGGGGTTCAGGACCAGCTAGAGCCTCTTATATCTAGGTGAGATCTATCCAAGAAAAGCTTGCTGGGGCCACAGCTGTCTCTCCCCCGCCTTCTGAGAGATGCTTTTCTAAGAACACAGCTCTGATTTGATGAATCACCTGCATATTTTGGTTTCACATAGGCAATAAAAACCACACATTTTCATCTTTCTTGTGACTTTCAGATATTGCTTGAAGGAGAGCTGGCTTTACTTTAACAATGTAAGACCTAGTGACTGTCATATCTGTTTTCCAATTCTACCTCACGTCTGTCGTCTCTCTCCTGTCTCATTTGTGTTTCAGAGTCCTAATTCTTTGTTTACATTTTATGTTTCTGAAACGTATTCCTGCATGCCACTTTAGCGCCTTTAGGCAAATGAATAGCAAAGTAACAAACAATCTGCAGACAAATGAAGTTTCATGCCCCCCTCCAGGAAGACGCAAATAGTGTCTACTGTCTATTCTAGATCTGGAAGTTTCAGGAGCTGGCGGCAGAAGTCGTCCTGGAAGTCATGGCCACTAACTGGTCTCTAGCAAAGTGTGATCACACCTTAACCGAGGTTCCATTTCTGGGAGGCTTCTCCGGAAATAGTTAGTTATTGGCATGCTCAGGTATTGGGTAACTTTTTCTACTCCTAAATTGGTGTCTTATCAGAGGTGGTATCGGTGCCTTCCTTACCTTTATTCCTTGCCCGAGGCTTTCCAAGGAATTAATATCCAGCCCTTCTTTGCAGGCTTGCAGACAAGAAATCACCTTCTGGCTTTCCATTTTTCCAGGGCGGATCGTGAGGCTGGCGAGGCTGCCATGGAAAAACTGTGCAAACCGTGGTTTGGCTACTTCGCCTCCTGTAAGAGCAAGAAATATTGTCATCTGTCTTGAGGAGACTAGATAGGAAGCACCAGGAACCAAAGTCACTCGTACTGTCTGTGTGTTCTTTAATTCTAAGGGACAGAAACAAGCCAATGTGTGTTTGTGTGTGCAGGGGCTGAGCACCATGGGAGCTGGGGTCTGCTACCATGCCCATGCAAGGTTCAAAGTACTCAAGATGCAGCTTCATCAGGAGCCACGCCCATCTCCCCTGCTGTTCTCTAAGCCAGACTTCTCTTGAGGTCTGCTTATAACCCACCTCACCCAGAAAGCCTTCCCTAGCCTCTTTACTAATCCCAGTCCCCCTCCACCATCTTTGGATGGACTCCATGGACAGATCTAACCCAGGTCTTGCTTGGCTTTTTGTTCAGAGAACAAATAGAATGCGGAGAGGAGAGAAGATGGACGGAGACTGAGTCCCCATCTTGATCATTCCCAGGAGAGGTTCTGAAAACTCTTTGAGCCTCCATGACTTGCAGGACACATTAGTGCCCCCTAGTGCTAGTAGGCTGTCTCACTACAGCAGCTCCCTAATCTTCTGTGCTTTATGTTGTCTGAGGCTTGAGAACAGGCTGGGAACCCCTGTATATAGCTTTCCCAGCTCCCCAAAGGGCAGCTTTCCACCTTAGTGGCCCTGGAGCACTCTTGCTGCTCTTTGGTGAGCCAGGTGTGCCAGCAACGCCTTGTGGGTAGTAGACGCTCCTATTGGAGCTCCTTCAGTGCTGCCTATTGAACCTCTCCTGATAACCTACTGCGTGGCTCTCTGGGCTGGCCTGGGTTCTCCCTCACGCCTGTTCCATTGCTCTTACATTTGCTCACCCGATCCTGACCTCCCTGTCACCCAGGTTAGGCACATCTCACAGTCTTTCAAAGGTCTCTTTCATTCCCTGTCACTGTTGTCTCCTCACACCTTACTGAGTCCCTGTTTCCCAAACCCTGTCCCTGTCCTGAGACCCACTGTACTCTAGGTGTAGGGCCTGGAACACTTTAGTTGGTTTTACGGCTTTCACGTGGAATTACTAGTGAATTGTTTACACGCAGATGCTATCGTCGGTAGCCTAAATTGTTATCATCCACCTTGGCTATAAGTTTTAATCCTCTGGGAATCTTTAAAAAGATAAATTGGTGCCTGAGACTTGGTGTGATACCTTGGAGATTTTGATTTAATTGGTATGGGGAGGTTTTTTTTTTTTTTTTTTTTTTGCTTCTTGGGTAAAGCAGATGTGAAGCCAAGGTTAAGAAGCATTGCGCTGTGAGCTTCTCCAGGTTGGGCCTTTTGCATGCTCCTTATGCAATCTCTCTCCTTGATGCTACCCGCAGGCTTGCTCGTCGCAAGTTGCTATAATTTATTAGTTTAAGCCTCTCTTTCCTGGATAGCAAAGATCACTCATGCATTATTCATTTTAATGAAGACAATACTGAGCAAGTAAGTATTAGGGGCTGAGGGTTGCACCAGGCACTGTGCATAAGTTGACTCATTTATTCTTCTCAAGAACACTTAGCCTCTTGTGTCCTCCTGGCACACTGTAGTCTGCCTGGCATACAACAGACGCTTTATAATTGCCTGTCGGATTGAAGAGGAGGATGTGCTGCATGCCACCAGAGTCATCGTGGGCACTGTGGCTCTCTCGCCCTTTCCTTCTTGCTAAGTCAGGCCTGAGGCTTTGGGCATGGGTGCAAGCTCCAGGAAGAGAGTCTAAGCAAATTTTATCACACCATTATTGCCCCAGTGATGGATTCAGGGGGTGGGTCTGGGGCCAAGGAAGAAGATGAAGCCAATCAGTACCTGGCATTCAATAAGCCATAATTATAGACCCAAGAAGATGCATGGGACCAAATTTCGGCTACCACCATGGAAAAGATGACTGGTAGCTTACACATAACCGCTTCTATTTTGCTCTCAGGAGGTTTTCAATTAGCTCTTGTTGTCTTTATATAATAAACCCACACTGCATAAGCCAGCTTGTCATTAGCCTAGGAGTGATGAGGGCGATGCAGAATGTAGGGCAGAGTGAGAACAGTCACATGGGAGCAAGGAGGACTCCAGTGGGCTTTCCCGTCGCTGTGTTTTGGGATATTCTCTGCTATAGGAACCATTTGTCTTTATGTGTTAAACCATTTTGTCTCATAGGTTGTTTCCTTGATGCAAAAGGATTCTTTGCTTTGAAAGCAAAACAAGTCATTCTTAGTGCTTGGTTCTCAGGGAATTCCAAATAGATGTGTCTTTGGTGGATGGCTTGCAAAGGACCTGGCTATGGGAGGACAGTTTGAGGTTTCCTGTTCTTGATGCTCCTCCGTAAAAATTTGCATGTTCATGCCTTAGTGTTATGGCTTGGATGTGAAGTGACCCAACCAAAAGGCTCCCATATTGAAGAGTGGGTCCTTCATGTTTGGAGGTTGGGCTTTTAGAAGGTGGTTGAATAATGCGGGCTCTGACCAAATCATTGACCTCCTTCACTGAGGGATTCAAACAATTCAAACTGTGGTTAGGCCACAGAAGCATACAGGGTGAGGCCTCTTTGGAAGATGCAGGTCACTCTCTCTGTTCCCTGGATGTCTTAGGAACAGCTCTGCTCCTCCTCACCCTTCTTCCAGGATGCTCTCTCTTACCATGGCCCAGAAACAGTGGGGCAGGCAGGTCAGGGCTGAAGGCTCTGGAGTCATGAGCCAAGATAAATACTTTGGCACATAAGGATTATATTTTCACATTTATTTATTTATTTTTAGTATTTTTCATAGCAATAAAATGTCTGACTTATAATCTTGTGAACTGATTTTTTTTTAACCTACAGAAAAGAGGATGAAGGCTTGAGCATAAATGATGGAGATGCTATTCAAATGGCCATCTATTTCCTGCCTTGTCTCTAACCTTTGATTAGTAGAGTCAATGAGTATCACTGACTAGGTGTGACCTGTGTGTCCAACACCATGTACAATCTCAACATACATCATCTCTTTGAATCTTCATAACTGCCCTGGGAGACAGGCATTCATTATATAGGCACTCACATACAATAAAACTTAGGCTTGAAGTTGTAAAGTATATATCCCTAAAATCTGAGTACTCCATCTATCTACCATCTATCCCACCTCATCATCTCACTCAGAGGCTCCATCTCAAAGTTCAATATCTGTGACAGGCTTGGATGCCAAGGTACCATGTACTGTATTTCAACTTAGGAACTTAGGTTTGTGTGGTACTCTGTTTATGAATCAGAAGTCTCTAGGAGTGAGATTTAGTTAGCATTTTGCAATGGGAGACACACATAAAAGTTGAAGCACATTTTACCCAGTATTAGATGTGATATAAGATATCAAAAATAAAAGATACACTGAAATTTTTTTCTTTTTAATATTGAAGGTGTCTACATGGGACACGCAGCTCCTCTGTCAAAATTCAAAATAAACTTGGTCATGAATCATTTCAAAAGAACAAAATATCAAAACTTTGTTTCCAGACATCATTTTGGAATCCTTAGACTAGATCAACATTTCAAAAACATTTCCTGTTTTATATTAGGTTCCTGTAACTGTAGGCTGTGCGTAGGGTCTTTGGGAGTTGATAGTGAGTGGAGAGAACGACTAAGGTAAATTAAAATATAAGAATTAGATTACTAAGATAATCCGAGGTTTCTAAGGCAGCACATGATCCATTTTTAAACAACCTGTTTACTAGGTCAGAGGAAAAAATAGTGGCCAAGAGACCCTTGAAATGAATCAAGTTCTTTCTTATACTATTTCATTAATCCTTAAAGATGAGGGTCTTTGGAGATCTGAAGCCCTGTGCTTTATATTTTTATTGGGTATTTCTCTCGTCTCACTTCCATTTATGCACATGTCTAGCCTTGCCACAGGTATGGCCACAGAAGAGGTCCAAGCATGGGCTTCAGAAGCAGAAACCTTCCAAAGGACAAAGAAGACCTGACAGCAAGTCTACCTTCAGGAGGTAGAGAGGAAGAGAATCTGGTTTCTACCAGACGAGGGAGGTTGAGGAAATGGAGAGAATAAATCACAGGATGAAATCACCCACAGCTGCTTCCAGGACTGAGCCCCTGGCAGGATGTGTGATATCGGTATGGCACTAAGTAGATTGTACATAGATGGACCTGCACAGAGAACATGAAAAACACCACAGGTATTGATGTAGCCCATGGAAGGAAAGGAAGTGCCAAGACAGCAGTCAATCCTAAAGGGTCATTAGTGACTGAGGACCAAGAGGCAGATGAGCATCATTTCAATGGATAACCACATGGAAAGGTGACTGGACCCATATTACCCGATAAGTCTGCATCCTCACCTCCCTGATCAACCCACCATTACCCAAGGAAATGGAAAAATGCCAAATTTGAGGAGGTGAAACCTCTCTCACTCGCATGGAATGAAGCTTGAAATGAAACCAAGATGGGTGTGGAAGAAACCATTTCATCTTTGTGAATTGCTAGTCTGATCTGATACACGGACAACTCTTTTAACAAAATAAATGTACAGGTTTTGATACCTTTCCCAAGGCTACGCGGCCAGGAACAAGGAACATTAAGATTCAGACTTGATCCAACCTTCTTCCTGCACACCATCTAATCAGATGTGGCTGAAAAAGTTGAAGTGGACTTACTGGCAGGGGACAGGTTGGGACCAATGTGGTGCTAGCAATGGATACCCAGTTTTGTAGCTTTTGTGGACACTGACTTTGATGGCAATTCCCAGCAGCTGGATGAAGAGGACTGGGAATCCCAGTTGCTTTAAAAACCAGGCAAACATCTAGCCCCTCAGTGGTTTCCCATCCACTGATTTAACCAAATGTAGACTGAAAACATCTAAATATACTAAACACAGATATGTCCTTTCCTTGACATTTGTCTCTAAGCAATAAGAACCATTATGGTGGACAATGAGGACTACTGAGAACTCAAGAACAATGGCAATGGGTTTTTGTTCCTACTCCACGAACTGGCTTTGTGGGAGCCTAGGCAGTTTGGAT